GCTGCATGTTGATGTAATCGAATCGACAGTTGTGATAAATCGCTCGAAATGTCACTGACAAATACACTTGTAGCGCAGGAACGCAATTCATATTACTGTCATGCCTATTGTTCACGCGAATTGTTTAAGTTGTAAATAAATTCCAGCAAAAGTGTTCAGTTCAACACTTTCACTGGATCTAATCAAGTTATCGAATCTAGTCCGATTTAAACCTCCGAAATTTGTCAAAATGTGTTGTCAAAAGTTTTTTTTTCTAAGAAAGAGGAAATATTTTGTTAGAAAACAAAATATTTGGATATTACCTCACGTTCAAACTGATCACAAAAAGTTTTGATTTCCAAAGGTGGCTCCTAATGACAATTGAATATATAAATTGGTATAAAAAGTAAAAGCACAATTAAAAAATTTACTGCTAAGTTTTGAACATAATTTAACAAAATGAATACTAACGCTTGAACGACGTGAATGAAAAGACTTCTCATTTGCATTTTTATATATTTACGTTCGTCCGATAATGTTTGCTATAAATAATCGACTGAATAGGCGACTCGATAGAAACTTTCGACCGGTTCTCAAGAAACAGCGCGTATTAAAACAGAGAAATTTGTTTTTCGCCGTTAAAAGATCGAGACGCATTAATATCGTGTATATCTGATGTACAGTAGGAGTCAACAAACACAAGATTCAAGGTGATTTACGATCGGCGAGTGTCATTCGGCCGAGCCAAACATGATTCAGCAATGACGACGTGCCGTTCATCAGTAACCCAACCTCACATAGCTGATAATGATGCTAAGTTATAAAAAAAACTTTCGCCCTCTAAACCTCAAACAACTCTTTCTGATTTAGAAAACATTTTACATCATTGTTTAGCCATTAATGAGATTTCCATAATTATTATCATATTGTTGCTACAAAGTGGCCCCTATTCTCATTTTTGCGCTCTCGTGCGAATTCGAGCAATAAAAGAGATCTACAATTTTAGGTAAGCTCTGAATCACCGGAAATGCACCTAAACATTTTATTCGTGTTTATTATCTCTCTACACTTATTATCAGTTAGAGATTGCATGGGATAAATAAAAAATTGAAAATATAGAAAAAAAAATTTGTAATTTACGTATTGTACAGACAATTTTTTTGCACATCTACAACAGAATATACAATAGAATCTGTTTGTGGAAAGAAGCGAAGTATGTGCACGCAGGTGTACGTACACCGGGTAAACGTAAATGCGTTTGCTCAAGGTCTTTCCTTGCCGCGAAGTTTCTTTTCTGTGCTCATGGTTTTCTCATCGTCCAAACATGTCCTGATGTGAGTGTTGACCCCGCGGTTACCGGGAAACCATCGAGATACCGCTGACGATGTCTCTAGAGCTATCTATGGTAAGGTCGAGACATGAGCGCTTTTTAAGAATGAGAAGAATTGACGGCGGAGAACCCGGTTTGGGAAAGTTGAGTCGCCGTCATCTTTAGCACGAAAAACGAATCGCGCTCGTTGTATCGATGTGTTTCGCGCAATGCGTATTGAAGAGCCACGTGCGTAAGTTACACGAGAGACAAGTTACCGAATAGGCGCCTTTTTTTGATCTCGTAACATTTCGGACTTAAACAAAAAAAAGTCTACAAGCACAGAAAAATTCTTCGTAAGTTAGCAAGTGTTTTGATTTGCAAATGTGACTGCGCAATGTGATATTAATATTAATATCGCGAATCGCGTTCTTTTGCGGCATAAGACGGTCGAATGGCACATAGGTAGAATACAAAATTAACATACTCAATAAAAGAAATATAACCGCGGCGACAACTATAACTACCGTATAATGTTGTATAAATAGTGTCCATTCTATTATTTAAGAAGTTAGCTAAATTGCGGTTGGACTGTGACAAAATATAAAATTCTCGCGTTTCTCTCAAAGGGAACGCTTAAACTATTGTTTCGAAACAGTTCGCGGTAAATTTTATATGTAGACTTAGCAGATAAATTTTCTCTATGTAAGATAATACATATTGAACAGTTGGGACAGTGCAAGAACGTGTAAGCAACTTTGCGCAACTTACCTGCGGCCGTTTCGCGCAGCCACTGTCGTTAATAAGGTTAGTCTGGTCTCGCCGAGCGCTACATGATCAAGAAACATGGACCGTAGAGTAGGACATTGCAACAAAGAGAGATCGTGATGGGTACAGACAAACCGTATCTAGGATACGGACTAACAAAATTAATCGTTTTTGCCGAAGAATTGCCTGAAGAATTTTACGCTCGCTGCTGTGCGAAATAAAAGTTGATTGATTATTTTTTTGCAAAACTGAAGAACGTGCATAGCATAGTTTAAGAGAAATCTTTCATAAAAATATGTGAAATCCGCGAGGTGGAATTCAAGTGCACAGCTATGTAGAAACAACATTTTCTCAGAAAAAGTCCGTCTTGTAAGTACATTAGCAACTAGACACTAACGTGCTTTATTACATATTACGAAACAAACTGCGCAACATATCGTTGTTTCATTTTTTTAAATATCTCAAGTAGGGTTTTTATAAACGATCCAGTATTATATTGGAGCAGTACTAGCAATGGGAGTACTACTAGTTGTCAGTGTTGGCAGAATTCTAGGTAATAAATCTAACATAGTACCGATCATCGGATCGATATCGCATCAGTATCAGAATTTGACTCGCGCCAAACGATATGTTTGTAGTATCAGTAACATGTGACATAGACACTTCTGACATTGCAATGCAAAAAAATTTTCATGTCTCAGATGCGGTCTCAAAACTCGATTTGTCAGAGGTGTCGACCGCGTTCAGGACTTAGGAATTTTGTTGTGTCGGAAATTGCAGGTGTCGCCAAGTATGGATTATCGATACTAGGATAGTAATGGCACACGATAACAAGAACAGTATTAGAATACGTAGTATTAGACCGGTATTGTTTCTTGATGGTTCTTTGTCGATATATTGTACAAGCCCGTATTTCTTCAATACTGGCAAACCCCCACCTGAGATTATTTGACTTGAAAATTTACGTTGCTTTCAAAGCGCGGTCGATTCTATTGAAATGCTGCATAACAAGTATTGCGGCGACCGATTCATGAGATATGTCCCGCATGAAACGGCGACTTTCTTCAATTTCGAAATATACGACGCATGAAAGTCGTTGGCTCGTAAAACTGTCGACGTGTCAATTGGCAGTTTCTTCCGTGTGTTGTTTGTTCCCCATGGCCGCGCAACAATGTTGTCCCCCCAGATGCGGCATGCATTATTCAATGTACCCGGAAGGCCACTGCGCTGCTGCGCGAGTCTCTGCGAAGTCGATTCCTCCACTTCGTAGACTTGGATTTTCTTTATTCGACATACCGCTTCGTGTACGTGCTTCTCGATAAAGCTCGCGGAAACGCGCTAATTGCGTTTAAGACTCCCTCATTCCTGCCATATTGAATTATGACGTCACAAGCAAGAAATTTATATAAATTTGTGCCTTGCAACTTACATCGAAATAAACTGGTTTCTTTCACGTGCCGCCACTGGTATTTGAAAGCACAAACAAGTGCTGCAAACTTCCGTAAAGAAAATTCTACACATACACAACTCGATATTAACTACGCACATTGCAAAAGATAGAAAAATAAAGTGCGCGGATAAACATGCCAATTTTTCATCGCTCGTTGATAGAATATGTCGCAGTAATAAAGCAGCATGATAGCTATTAGAAGCAGGATGTAACCGTTCAGAAGCGAGTGTTTAGCCGGACTTTCATAAATCACGCAAGGGCGACAAGCAATTATAATAACTGTTCCCGAGTATAAACGTGTAAATAAAATATCAAGCCCTTCGGCCACGTAATGAGGTATACGAAGCTAGATGCGAAACCAAGACTCGTTATTGCAACACCGCAAACAGAGAGAGAGAGAGAGTTTGTTTCTCTCTCCCTCTTTCTTTTTCTCTCTCGATTATCGATGTTTCAAATGCGCTAACGCGGGAAAAACTGCAATACAAAATAACAAACATCACATTAACCAAAAAATCGAACTATTATTATTATTTTAAACCAACAAACGTGTTTCTCTCAATAATATCTGGTAATGTGTGTATTTTTGGCTGTTTTATGTTTTTATTACTTTTCCGACTGTTTGCATTACTCTTACGTTACGCTACAATACCACTTCTGCAGTTATATAATGTTGTTTATTCATGTGTGGAGAATTAAGTACCTATTTAAATAGACGTCTGATTATTCATGACGCTCTTTAAACAGAGAAAGGTTGATTGCATTGTCCATATGTAGCGTCATTCAAAGATATTCCAAGAGAAAAATAGAAAAAGAAAAAATCTTTAAACACTCAAGGTCACACGAAGACTCTCATCGACCGTGGAATTCGAGTTGAGCTTCAGATTTCAGCGGAACGAAATCGGCGGATTGCAGAAGAGAGAATCGTATGTGAGTGTGGTGAAAGGAAACGTGCGTGCAAATAAGAGAAAAAGAGAGAGAGAGAGAGAGAGAGAGAGAGCGAGAGAGCGAGACCGAAAGTACATCGTGCCGCTTGCCATAACCTTTTATCAGTTATCTAATTAGCCGTTGCATTTAATTAGCGACCCGAGGAGAGGGCCACGAGATAGCCCTAGCGCGGTGTGAGAACGACGTGGTATTGGTCCGGCATAGCTATACGTAATTTTAATCGGCGCCCGTGTCAGATAAGAAAGGTCGACGGATGGACCGGCATTTGCGCGCGCTTTGCAATTAGCCATGTTTTTATTTATTCGGCTATCCGCCGCTTTATTGAGAGCCACGACGCGAAAGACCATCGTGAAGACCGATCGAGACGAGAATTTTACAAACATCTCTGTATACGAGAATAATAATATTAGATACGTAATTTCTTTCAGGTAAAAATCTCGTGAAGAAACACAACAGGTTTATCCTCGCTAGAGGATTTTGTACGCATATGGTACAGTAATTTACGCCAAAAAAATAACAATGTATAATCCAACACATGTACAAACTCACCTTTGCCGAATCTTCGATGAAAGCTCCGACGGTTATTACATGCAGAGTGACCTCGCGAGTGTTCTCCAGCTCTTCCGGCGTCGCGTACAAACCCTCGCTGAGAAAATACGATTCGGAGCAGGTAAGTCTGTAAAATATACACATTTTTCTTATTGAAATCTTCTCTTATTTTAATTAATTTTCTCTTATCTCTATTATTTAAACTATCATAGTCTTATTATAAACATGTTTTTGTACACGTGACGTTGCGAACGTCAGCCATTTCTCTTCTTGATAAGACACGTTTCGAGAGAAGATTAATTGCTCTTACGGCAAATATGATAAACACTTATGTATATTTCCTTCTTTGAGTGATTAAGAAGAGAAAGAGATATTGTATAGACAGGTGGGAAAAATCGAGCAGTCTGTTGTACGTTTCGAGATTGCGTGGCCGGGCCGCATCAATTTCGAGGGTGATTCCCGATGTTGTTGTCGAAGAAGCCCCGAAAATTTCAAATGTCCGCGTAATCGAGGAGCCTCCTCGAGTCGAGTGTGTGTACATATAAAGGTGGTTCCTATATACTCGAGGATACTACCACCTCTTTAACTGCCTGTTCTTCGCTCCGTCTTCTTCCTTCCTTTTTCGTTTCGCTTTGCTATGCTTTCTTGTTCCGTCGGCATACCCCTTTCGGTTGTTGTTTTTTCCATCGTCCGCGATAATGATACCCACACGCTCTCGCTCGGTAATAATATTAATGGCTTCGTGTACTCGGAGACCATCGAGAAGAGGAGAGAAGGGGTGAGATACGGCAAAAGGAACATCATCGCAGTTTCGCTCCTTCCCTCCTTACGCGAAGGAACTCGTCGTAAGAAGCGAAGGTGTGTCTCACTTTGACCGGTGTTCATAGTCCGATTTTGTATTTAAAACCGTCTTAGACTGTTTTACTGCGGCTACAGAACGTCTGAAGATGCACTTAAGACGATCTTAAATATGAGTTTCGACTGTGAATATCGGCCTTTGTACAAAAAAGTGTGAATTCGCGCAAGTCGACTTAACATCGCATCGCGTTCACTCATAAAACTGGTGTTGCCATTTCTGATAAAGCTGATGCGCGAGTCGATAATTGAACGCGAGTAATCAGAAGATCTTCGAAGATTGCTGCGATATGATCACTGACCGGTTAATGATCGTTTTTATGTTAACGTATATTAGAGGTATTCCTTTCTTTTTATGAGATATTAATTTTTTCAGAAAATAATGATCTTGCGAGTCACATTATCTTCTAGAATCTAAAAAACGAACAAGAGTGGTGAAGCTAATATTTACATGTTTGCTTTTGACGTGTGTCAAGATCAAGATGATCGAAAAGCGCGTTGTATATCCAGTGAAATAATTAGCAAGCTTCGTTACAAAACATTAAAATCCGAATGATGTACAAAACCTCTTATACGTCATTTGAGTATGTGTTCGCGCGCGAATAGAGGAGGCAGCTACAAAACCTAAATTATTCATAGCATTAAACTTGTCAGTTAGTTACGCTGTAGATTGCAGCTATGCGATTTATATCCATAACAGTCGCTGTAAATACACGTATTGTATTTTAGGACTTGAATGTAGAAAACCCAGGTTCTACATTCTATTCGTTGGCGTCACGCGTCTGTGACACAGCCAAAGCAAGAGAATTAAAATTTATACGTCCGGTAAACGATAAATCTGCCAATGGAAAATTCATATTTCGGAATCATATAAATCACGAGACGAGAATCTTAATCGAATAAAGAAGTTTCGTATACGAAACACGTCGCAAGATATGTTGTCCCGTCGTCGTTTTAATTGCATTGTTATTTTTAATGTATAGATATAAATCTCTCTCTTAAAGAAAGAAAGATAAACCGAAATCGAAAGATATATGTGCAATACGCCTGTATGTTATTTAAATACACAACTGGTTACTATTTTGGTAAAAATATTTTAATAAACATTAATGACAATCATTTTATTAAAGTGTATTGTTTTACTTATTTACTATATTATATCTGTATTATACATACAATTGGTTTATCATAGAACAAGATTTTTAAAACAACGTCCTGATATCTAAAAACGGTTAAGAAAGATACGTATCTCTGTTGTGAGAAATATCGAAAGAACATAAAATAACTAAGATGTGCAAAATTGGTTATATGCTGTGAAGAAGAGAAAGACAATGGGAGGATAACAGAAAACAGAGGGAACCTGAAGCTCCACCCTGATTTCACGCATACGATCGTATATGCGGTCACGAAGTTTCCAAACTCTTACATCCGAGCACGCAAAGGCGTGAAATCGCTTCATGGCACGCAATTAAAAATCATTCATTCAAAGCTCTTTTCAAGCGGCTATTTGGTTGATCATTAACAAAGAGATTACTGTCCATATGCCGTTTGATTATTATCTGCGAATTACGCCAAAAAAATTTATTCCTCAAAGAAAGAAGACTGTTGCAAAAAACTTAGCTTTGCTCGTTTGCAATATCATTCGAAAAACTTATGCCGATGGTAAAACTTAAAAACTTTTTCGGAACCGAGATTTACCACTATTTGGAATTTGATTCGGAACACGTGAGCCAATGTAATGCGAAGATTGCAAAGCGACTTGCAAAACGGGAAAAAAAATGATTGTTCTCACTTCGATCTATAATAATTCTCGATTTTGTTTATTCTCCTCTAGTCTTCCGCGTCGGATTTCGTCATTCCATCTCGAAACGAGCGCGACACGTACATATATCCCATTCCCATCATGCGCCTCCCTTTATTTCATAAATCACATCTGGTTAAGCCACTAGCCGGGATCGTATATCATGAAATCATTGCGAAAGTTTCCGTATCAGTGTCTCAGCGACACACGATTCTCATGCCTGAGAGAATTGCGCTGTTATGTATAGACGACACATCACTGTCACAAACCGCTCGATAATCCCCGGCAATAAACTCCGGGACGACGGTTTTTTTTCTTTTTTGCCCGCGAGTTAGCCGGCGAGTTGATTTCGAGCCCGTTAAGCCTATTTACCAGAATGGGAATCCAGAGAAGGGGGGAAGCGGGTTTGTGTCGACCGCGCATGTGAAAATCGTCGCGCCAACGGCTCGCGATCTCTGCGATCTGGAAACGTAATCGACCGCCGGATTATATACTGTAATAGTGATAAATATCCGTGATCTCTCGATAGATCCAGTCTGTGCGTATACTCGGGCAATGAATATTCAGCTTATATATTATTTCTTTTAAGAAAAAATAAAAAAAAACGAAAGGACAGACGGACGCGCGCGCGCGCATGTGTATGTGCGCGCGTGAAATGTGCACGACTACACGCGTGTGTCGTTTGCGAACGCAACGTTCCCGTTTGAACTCCGCAAGTGTCTCTGAGATGTTGTACCCGGATTGTATATACGTGTATACCACCGTGTATATGTACGAGAAGGCGGTTACATTAGTTGTGCCTGCCTCGAGTATCTACCGGGTGGTCCCCGAGATAGACGCGTAAAGCAAAATGTCAAGCTCTTGATCTTCCACGAACAATCGATCATTTCAGGGTTGCATCATTGAGGTGCACATACGAGGCCCGATTGCATATACGTGATGCATCGTCGGAATGAGCTCGCACATACGCAGTCCGAGAATGTATAGATAATTTGCCTCCCCCGATCCCCTGATACACGTTCGTTACGCTGTAACCTGATTAATGATAATACGAGGCTAAGAGAGTACCCATTTTTCTTGTGTCGTATTCATCGATCGGAGATCAAAGGGATGTGTGCGTAACGGGGATATAATTTCGGCGCGCGCATGACGTCTCTGCGCCACTGGTTGTTTGCCGCGAAGATACTTGATGCGCGATAAACGCTCTCGGTTTTTTATAATTCAACCGTAGTTTCTATCTCACAGTTGATATCGTTAATTGTTATTTAAAATCGAATTCTCATTCACGTGTCTTGTTTGATGTAATCCTCAGGAATGGCAGAGTATATATTGTATAATTATCGGGACCGAGAGAAAGAGACGATCGATTATATAAAGAGCGCTCGTTTAGATCGCTCGTGCTATCGTCTCTATCTTCACGAAGATGTTACTTATGTACAATATATTAGACGCAATTATCCTCTTGTGCAGATTGCGATTACGGTATTTTTACAATTCTCGCCATTTATTTCGACACACTGCTATTACCGGTTAAATTTCATTCATAAACACGCATTATCCTAATAATCATTAAAATCACGCCGCTCGTGTTATCATTAACGATCGCGTTCACTGGAGAGAGAAGTTGACGTTTATTTTATCTGCAATCATATGTAACACAAGTTGTTTCGTGTTCTTCTGTGTTATTTCACGACACCTTGTATAGAAAAACTGGACACAGCGCAATACAGTTGATCTTCACGAGAGAGATCTTCGGAGATTTCGTATAATATTATAAATTAATTAAACGACAAACGTTTCGAGCTCGCGCGCGTTTGCTTGATAATAATCAATGCTAATTAAACAATAAAAACGCATGTATTATGACACAAGTGTTCGCCGATGTGATCAACATTCTCTTCTCCCGATCTCAAAATGTTAATCTTCATCTGCACTAACGGGAATAAACTATTTTCATCAACAGTGGTTTTGATCTGATACGTAAAATTGCGTGAATATTTTTTTTTCTCTCTCTCTCTATAAAACGACACATTCTAAAAACTATTCCAACGGAGGCAAAGGTCGTGATGTCCTTAGGGCATTTATATATTTAACGATATTACCACGGCCTAAGCTAATGTCAAAATCGATGCCGTGTACTCAGGTCTTATGGAACGTCGTGCGGCACCTATTAACGCTGCCTAACCGAACGTGAATTACTGTTGCACGCGAGAATTATCGCTTTCGTGGCTTTTAACGAGAGAAATTTACACAATCATTATATTGTTCTGCGAGGAAGGGATGACAAATTCACGCAATAACTTAGCCGCGGCGTTGTAGCCACGATGTACACGTTGTGAAATCGCGATCGCCCGATAAATTCATCGCCGAGTGAAAGTCAACTCGGTTTCAAATATTGACAAAGCTCAAGCTATGCCAAAGGATTTCGTATTGCAATGATATAAGTAAATCTTAGGAAAAAAATATATACG